CTTGATGGATCCGTAAAGTGAATGCCGGTGATTATGAAACCCCTGGGGTATAAGGGAATATACTCCATCAGATTGAATATTGAAAGTTAGGAAAACTTTATCTGCTTAGAAATTGTATGACATTGTAGGTTTACAATGACGGGAAAACGAAATGCTCGTGAAAACAAAACCGAAAAACTTTATTCTTCGCTCTTCAAAAAGCTAGAAGAATAGGTTATTAGTTTTTATCAATGTATTTTTTTAACAATTTGGATCTTTTGCTTTCGAAGAATATCCTCTTTACGTTAATATTATGTGATACATTTTATATATAATTCACTTCTATTTCATTTGATATTCTGTTTTTAATATTGTTACGTTGAATTAAATATAACAAAACAAAATTTCTATATGACCGTCTAGGGTTGTGGACAATCATTGAAAAAGATTGCCTTCTTACCCTGTCGTCCCATTATGACTCACGGACATATGTCGTCCCATTATTACTCATAGACATTTGTATGTGGCTGTGTGGAGAGTAACTAGTTCATTGGATTGGAGTTTGTAACGACAAAGATGCACAACCAACCAAATCAACATTGAATGTTGTTTACAAAGAAATATACTACGTATACTATAGAGTAATTTATAATTTTTGTTATAGTGTGGCGGACTTACATGCAAATCTATTTCATCGTATGATGTTTTTCATTTAGGATATTTTTACTTGGACTGTAATTTGTTGGTCTGGTCTATTCTGGTTTGGTCTGGTCTTTTTTAGTGTGCTCTGGTCTGGTCTGTTTTGGTCTGGTCTGGTCTGAAATTTTATTTTTTATATTTTTTTGCATAAAAATTTTATTTTTTATATATATTATAATCCATAAATAATTATATTTTATTCATTTATAATTAAAAATAATAATAATCCTTCCAAATTATCGAAAATTGTTATCGTTTTACTTGGACTGAAACAGATCAGACCAGATCGAAACAGACCAGACCAGATCATACAAATACAGAACAACTCAAACTAGACCAGATGATATTTATTATTTTATAGTACTTTTTTGGTTCTAAAAATATTTATAGTTTACCCATTATTCATACAATTTTTTTTAAAAATCAAGATTTTATTTATTTATTTTTATTTCTTTGTTTTTTAGAAATCAAGATCATCTATATTATTCTGTCACTTGTATGACTTAAAACACGAACAAACTAAACCAAACAATAATAAAATATTACAAGTATTAATAATAACAACAATAACACTACTACTACGAATAATAATAATTATAATAGTAATAATACTAATAATATTTGAGGTTGTTTCACTCTCATGCAACGAATGAGTGAGTAACTAGTTTTCTTAAAAGTGACACTAGAGAATATTAAAAAACTATTTGGGAAAAGAGGTTTTGAAGGTTTTATGTCCCGAACTATTCAAAGCCAATATTTACTCAATATTATTTTTAAATAAGTCGAGACCTAAAACCTTCAAACATTTTTTACCAAGTGTCATTGGAAATGCACATGAATTCGAGCAAACACTAAACTTTTAAAGCCCTATATAATCAAATACTACAAGCAAACACGTTTACGGTGTGGAAAGGTAATTAGTAGAGAAACTTCACCAACCTTCCTTTCTGAATCATTAACCCTTCCTTCCCATTTCCACCACACTCTCAGCCAAGACTCTTCCTTTCTCTTCATTCAAACCGCGCCCAGTCCAAAGCAGATAGTAAATGGAATTAGGGAAAGTCTGGGGAGAGGGATTCTCCCTCTAAGTATATGGGATAGGCCTTTAGTTTTGAAATGGGTGACCCATTTTTTTGGTTGAAAGGAACACCAATTCAGGAAATGGCACATTCTTAGATTATATCCCGAGAAAGGGTTCTAATGATGATCCCAATCAGCACATATTACCCAAACACCAACCAGAGGTAGATTCTTTTTCCAGGTATTGTACCCTAACAATTTGTTTTATATGGATGCTTTGTTTGTGTTGTTCAGATCGGTTAGGTTAGTCTTATTTGCACTTTCTATCAAGCCATATGGATGCTTTTTCCAGAAATGTCAGACTTATTGAAGGTTAGGTTAGTCTTATTTGCACTTTCTATCAAGCCAATTTTGGTTACTGACATTAGATAGCCTTCTCTTTGTCTGACAGGGCACCAAAGCGGTTGAAGGCAAAACAAGAGCTATTGTTATTGCGGTTGGCTCAAATACCGTACGAGCAGTATACATGGTTTCTATATGCTAAATAATGAAGTATTTCACATGAATACCTTCCGCATACAAAGGAGTAGCAATTTTAAGACTATCTTTAAGGTCTTTGATTGCTATATTTTTTTATGCCTCAAGCAAAACAGTCGAAAGAATCAACCACATGTTTGGAGTACCTACAATCACGCAAATACCAAACTTCTACTCCTGTCTTATATTACTATCTAGATAAGTGTATTTTAAACAGTCCTACTGGAGATCTATCTATGAAATGATACACTCGGCTCATTTTCCTTACCGAAGCATAACCGTTGAAATCCCTCATATCTCTCTATCGCAAAGCTCAGCTACTCTAATTACATGATTTATTCAGGACTTCGTTAAGATCTTATACACTTATGACATAGCCTCATCACTCCTTATCACCCCTATCACTTTGTTGTTCTGAATTCCCGCCCAATTTAACAAGATTCATTATTTTTGGCTTGAGATTATGATGGAATAAAGCAAAATGACTCACTAAAGTGTCTGCGCTTCTTTGTTATGGAGAAGCAGTCAGTCCATGCAATTTTGGACGCGATTTTCACTATGGGTCATCCGGAAACAGTCTCTCTGTGCTTTAGTACAGGTGTAAGACTGCGTACATCCGACCCCCCCTTACCCCACCGTAGGTGGGAACCTTTGCGGCACTGGGGTAAATGAAAATGATGAAATGATGATCTATATCCCATTACAAAGCCAAACAATCTTCTGAACTCTAAATACAATTGACCGGGCTAAACTTGCAAGTGTACAAGCTAGTGCCGATATAGTAATAAATTCCGGTAAAATATCGGGTCGAATCCACCAGGAAACGTTGTTTAATTCAAGTCCGAGAGTAGATAACTTTAAATGAAGAAATGAATAAAGTGAAGGGATTTTGATTTGGTGTTTTATATTTTTGGTTTTTTTCACTTTTTGTTCAACATGATAATCGTTAACTAACTTTGAGTTCAAGATAAATGATAACAACAACTAAGACTTCGGGAATCACTTAAATGCTTAATAATTAGTTCTTTGCCAATAATTATGAATACGATGTCGCTAATATATTCTCAACTCCGGTTAAGGCAGCGAGAGTGTGGTTTTCGTTACGTGTAAGTCCCGTTACGGCTTACATTCATCTACCGAAAACCCCGTTGAATATCAAGACATCACACCCGTATCATATAAGACCGGATATATTTCTATTCTCAGTACTATATATGTTTATCCTTTAATGTTCATAGTTTAGATTTCAACGTTAATTGCAAGTATAAACTAAATTTAACATACTTCTATGTTGTACACCATAGTCATAAACAATCAATATATAAAGGATAAATCACAATTTATTGGTTTAGAACTTTTATCACACACCTAGTGGGCATAGAAGTTCACCCCTAGCCTTAGGTAAGAAATTAGCCTCTAATGCTCATATTAATCAACAAACAATAATAAATGTAATGGAACATGAAATTACAAAGGAAATAATACCTAAACACCAATGATTTCGGAGGATGAACTTCCCTCCTCAAGAACTTGAAGAAAATACCAAGAACAAAAATATAAAAGCTAAGAATTAATCTATGGAATGGAATGGAATGTTTTTGTATGATGAATTGAGGGCCTTATATAGGCTAAAGAATGACATCTTTTAGTCTATTCAAGCCCAACAAATAGGTATGGGGGAGATATTAGATCAAATATGAGGAAGATGAAGTTTTCCCATCAAGAAATCTCTTGCACGTAGCTGTGTTTGTAGCAGAAATTGGAACAACCGGCGCCAGTTATAGGGTGTCCGGCACCGGTCTTGTGAAAAAATGCACCGGTCGCTCTGCGCCGGTTGGAAACAAGTTGTTTTTGGTGGAAAATCCCAACGACCGGCGCCGGATATGTGATGACCGGCGCCGGTTCTTCCGCCCAAACTTGTACTTAGCTTCTTTTCTCTTTTGATGCCCAAAATTTATCCAGAAGTGCCGGTTTTCGATCCCTTTTGACTTTTGACCCTATTTTTGTTGTTCCAAACCGTATTTCATGTTTCCGCTCATTCGGGAATATTTACCTGTTTTTGCTTCAGATTTTTGCACAGATAATTATAATCACTTATGTAAAACATAAGTAATTATTGTGCTTATCAAATTCCCCCACACTTGAGCATTGCTTGTCCTCAAACAATTTCTTTGTATTGATGCACAATTAGAAAAGAAACTAAACCATGCAAATTAAAAGTTTAATAAGATGTTAAAAATTAGATATAAACTCTTTAATCTTTCTCGAGCCAAAAACCTTTTTCTATTACTCACAATAAATGTATTTAAGATTAAGAAAAATATTTAAACATTTGATGGGTTTATTTTGTGACAATTTAGGCAATGTGTGGCTATGTCGCTGTTTTTTGTGGACTGACAACTTGATTTTGTAGAGAAGGCTATTCTAGGAGAACATGAGTTTTTTTTTGTTCTCCGTAATTATATATCTAGAATGTCAGAAATGAGGAGAATCCGACAATAGAGTGATCTGGAGTTGGGATGAAACTTTTATTTTGATTTTGCACTCTATGCACATTTGTATGGATTTGGAAAATTGTCACAAGTCTGAGTGAAAGTGGTGGTTTCAAGATTAATAAATATTTTAATTAATCTAAAAATACGTTTTTGTGAGTAAAAGAAAATCTTTCTCAACCAAAACCCTTAAAAGAGAGAATATCAAAAAAATTAATTTGCAAAAAAAAAAGTTTCTCAACCAATTATTCACCCCTCCACACTTGATTTACATTGTCCTCAATGTAGAAGCCATAGGAACATAAAAACTTCAATCCCCCATAAAGTGTGTGTTTATAGAAGAGTATGTCATATGAAATAACAAGAATGGGAACCTAATTTTGTGGGTCGGGAGGGGGGTGTCCAAATTGACCATAGTAGTGTTGGGTGAATTGCCCAAACCTTCGGTCAATGTGGTCCAAATGCTCTTCCATCCTTGTTTGACGGGTGCGGAGGTCCTCTTGGTTAGCTTCGTACACGTCCATCCGCGTATGCATACGGTCCATGGAGTCAACAATATAATCAATGCCATGTGCCATAGTTCGTCGTGGTCGGGCTGCGGGTTGTGCGGCAGCTTCTCCCATCTCTTCGTCCCCATTATCGTCCTTGCGAACCCATGCACCTCCCACCTTCTTGAAGTGGAGGGACAACATAGTGCTAGGCCTCAAAATTTGGGTTTCGGTGATGTACTCTACCTCTTCATTTCTAAGATCGACGCCAAAACTCCTGAAAATCATTGTGAGTAAAAGAGGATAAATAAAGTTTTTATCACCTCTTTTAGTTTTGACGACGCCCCTCATTTCTGTCATGATGAGAGGGGCCAACGGAATGCCCTCGATTTCTCCAAGCCTGTTCATCATTTTGTGCTTGAGATAGAGGTCCAACTGCCGAAGCACATGCGTGTCACTAGCTCTTGGCAAGATGTTGAAGCTCAAAAGGTATGCAATTAGTCTCTCTCGGGATTCAAGAACACGGGCCTTAAGTTCTTCATCGAATCCATAGTTGTTCATGACATCAATCTCTTTGTAAGTGGGGTCGGTGAGCACCATTACAGAGTTCATTTCAACCGGATGACCGTCGTTGGGGACGCGAAGCAAGGTGAGCCAATTGTTGTTTGCTAATGGTGATTTTTGTGCCTTTAACAGTGCTCACAATATTCCCAAACGGGTCCATTTTCCTCTCAATATTGGCATAGAACTCCCGTACAAGCGTCGGGTAGAATGCCCCAGTCAAAGTGAGCATGACGGCCCATCCCAATTTGTGAAAAGCGTCGGAGAGTCGATAGAGAGCTTCGATCTCCGGATGCACGGTCTTTTCAATCACAATTTTCCACTTCTTCCTTTGATCGTACCAAGCCTCATTCTCCGGGGAGGTGAAACGTGGTACGGATGAAGAGGAAGAAGTAGCATCATTTCGTCGTTTAGGAGCCATTTGACCTGCACAATTAGTTCAACATATACACATAACACCATTTGTTCATCAATTCAAGGTAAAATTTCAATAATTTCTTCAATTTCCCCAAATTTCATGTTCATTCAAGAATTCTTGCAACAATCATGTTTAGAAAATTATATATCAACAACAAGTCATATCAACATATCTCTAAGCATCAATTATAAAAAGAATTCATCAATGAACAAGAAATTCGAAATTAGGGTTCTTCAGAAAATTTGCAAGAATTTCCCCTAATTTTGAACTTTAACCTCACAAGTTTGGACAAGAATCATGTTTATATATACCAAATGAACATAAGAGATCATCATTCAACATTTATAAGCATTCAATTTGCCAAGAATTGTAAAAGAGAAAAGATTTCAAAAATTAAGGGAATTTGAGTTTAAAGTCGAAATACCTTGAATTGATGAAGTAAAGTGATGATGAAGCTTTGAGGAGTGAGTCTTGGTGTTAATTCAATGCTCCTACGGGTGATTTACAGCTATGGGTGGCGGATTTGGGTGGTTTGGGATGATGGTCGGTCGTTTAGCTCGTAAAATTTGGGGGTAGGGTTCGAAAACTGTTGTGTTTTTGGCGATCGGGGGGGTTTTTAAACGGGACAACCGGCGCCGGATGTGTGATGACCGGCGCCGGTTATGCGTTTTTGATGCGTCTCGAACTCTCTGTTTTAGACCGGGGCCGGTTGCCTCTAACCGGGGCCGGTCGATCCGTAAAAAAATATAATTTTTTTTGAATTCAATTATAAATAAACATTAAAAAAAAGAAATTGTACATGTTTATTTATAATTGAAATTTTGATGTTGGGTTGCCTCCCAATTAGCGCTCAGTTTAATGTCTTAGGTCGGACGCAATGTACCTTTTATTCCTACAAAGGGCAAGCGGTGGTTGCTGAGGTGATATGATACTCCATGTATGGCTTGAGTTGGTGACCATTTACAAGAAAAGGTGTTTGGTCACCGTGTTGAATCATCCTTAACCCATATGGTCGGACCTCGGTGATTGTGAAAGGTCCCGACCATCGGGATTTGAGTTTTCCGGGGAATAAGCGAAGTCTTGAGTTAAAAAGTAGTACCTTTTGCCCAACGTAGAAATCCCTCCTGTTGATGTTCTTGTCATGTCATGCTTTGGCCTTTTCCTTGTAGATGCGGGAGTTCTCATATGCATCCCTTCGAAGCTCTTCTAGCTCATTGATTTGGAGCGTCCTTTTTTCTCTCCCAAGTGTGGTGTCAAGATTTAGTTGGGAAATAGCCGAATGAGATTTGTGTTCAAGTTCCACATGGAGATGACATGGTTTGCCATAAACAAGTCGGAAAGGGGACATACCGAGTGGAGTTTTGAAGGTTGTTCGGTATGCCCATAAGGCATCATCAAGCTTTATAGACCAATCTTTCCTTGAAGAATTGACCATCTTCTCAAGAATGGACTTTATTTCCCGGTTGGAGACCTCCACTTGACCATTAGTTTGAGGATGGTAAGTGGCTCCGGTCTTGAACATGCATCCATACTTTTTTAAAAGGCCGGAAAAATGGGCATTTTTGAAATGAGTACCATTATCACTAATGATACTTCTAGGAACCCCAAATCTTGAGAAGATGTTCTTTTTCACAAACGCCACCACCGATTTAGCGGTGTTGTCCGGTAGAGCAATGACCTCCACCCACTTGGAGACATAATCAACCGCAACAAGGATGTATTCTTTGCCATGAGAATTAGGAAAAGGGACCATGAAGTCTATTCCCCATACATCAAATATTTCCACCACAAGAATCATATTTTGTGGCATTTCATTCCTCCGGCTCAAATTTCCTGTGCATTGACAACGGTCACAAGCTAGGACAAAACTCCTTGCATCTTTGAAAAGTGTCGACCAGAAAAATCCACATTGGAGTATTTTAGCCGCTGTTCGGTCCGGACCATGATGACCTCCACAAGGAAGATTATGGCAATGCTCAAGGATGGATATCCCTTCATTTGGGACACATCGTCGTATGATTCCATCGGCACAATGCTTGAAAAAATATGGCTCATCCCAATAGTAGTGTTTGACATCATTTAAAAACTTCTTTCTTTGATGGAAAGTGAGCTCTTGAGGAAACATTTCTTTGGCAAGATAATTCACAAAATCTGTGAACCAAGGTAAGGGAACTCCCTTCACCTCCATAATTTGCTCATATGGAAAATCATCATGAATTACCTCCATATTAGTAGTGGCATTTGGCTCAAGGCGAGAGAGGTGATCCGCCACAAGATTTTCACATTCTTTTTTGTCTCGAACTTCAAGATCAAACTCTTCAGTAATAGCACTCACCGGATTAATCGTGGCTTTGCATCCTTTTTGTTCATGAGGTACCGAATGACGGAGTGATCGGTGTAAACAATCACTTTTTGGCCAATGAGATAAGATCGGAATTTGTCAAAGGCATAGATGACGGCTAGGAACTCCTTCTCCGTTGTTGCATAGTTGAGTTCCGCATCATGAAGTAACCTCGATGCATAGTATATGGCAAGAAGTTTCTTTTCTCTTCTTTGACCAAGCACAACTCCAATGGCATGGTCACTAGCATCGCACATCAACTCGAATGGTAGAGACTAATCCGGTGAAATGATTATTGGAGCCGTAGTAAGAGCCTTCTTGAGAGTATTGAAAGCTAGTAGGCAAGATTGAGAGAATTCAAAAGTGGCATCCTTGGCAAGTAAATCGCAAAGTGGTTTTGCGATTTTTGAGAAATCCTTGATGAATCACCGGTAAAAACCGGCATGCCCCAAGAAGCTTCTAATGGCTTTTACCGAATGAGGAGGTGGCAATTTCTCAATAACCTCCACCTTAGCTTGATCAACTTCAATGCCTTGAGGAGAGATTTTATGCCCCAAGACAATGCCTTCGGTCACCATAAAGTGGCATTTCTCCCAATTGAGAGCCAAATCGGTTTCTTCACATCGGGTTAATACTTTATCAAGGGAATGTAAGCATGAATCGAAAGAGTTTCCAAAAACGGAAAAGTCATCCATGAATACCTCCATGAAGTCTCCCACCATGTCCGCAAATATAGCCATTACACATCTTTGAAATGTCCCGGGAGCATTGCATAAACCAAAGGGCATTCTTCTATAGGCAAATGTGCCAAAAGGACATGTAAATGTTGTCATTTCTTGATCCTCGGGAGAAATAACTATTTGAAAATAGCCTGAGAAACCATCCAAGAAACAAAAGAATTCGTTGCCCGCAACACGCTCCAACATCTCATCCATGAATGGAAGGGGAAAGTGGTCCTTCCTTGTGCCGGAGTTCAATTTCCGGTAGTGTATGCACATCCTCCAACCGGTGACCATTCTAGTAGGAATTAATTCATTCTTACTATTGGCCACCACTGTGATTCCTCCCTTCTTTGGCACGACTTGAAAGGGGCTTACAAATTTACTATCTGAGATGGGGTAAATTATGCCATAGTCAAGGAGTTTGAGAACTTCCTCCTTAACTACCTCCTTCATGTTGGGGTTTAGCTGCCTTTGGTGCTCCACCGTAGGTTTGTGATTTTCCTCCATAAAAATCCGGTGCATGCAAAGAGAAGGGCTAATACCCTTAATATCCGTTAAGGACCATGCAATAGATGTTTTGTGCTCTCTCAATACCCGTAGTAATTTTTCTTCTTGAAAAGATGTGAGGGAAGAAGAAATTACTACCGGGAAATTTGAGTTGTCTCCAAGAAATGCATATTTGAGATGCTCCGGTAGAGTTTTCAAAGATGGTTTTGGTGGAACTTCAATAGATGGTTTTAATGTGGACTTACTTGTTCCAAGTTCTTCAAATTTTTGTCGGAATTGTTTGAAAGGAATTCCGGCTTGCAAGTACATAACTTCTTCAAGAAGTTCATGGTTTTCTTCTTTTTCGTTGCATCCTAACATGATGCAAGTCTCCAAGGGATCTTCATGAATCATTTTCCCAAAGCATTCTTGAGTTAATGTGTCAAGAATGTCAATGCTAAAAAGAGAAGGGTTATCATGGTGTTTTTTCAAAGAGTCCCAAACATGAAACTCTTGTTCTTCATCTCCAACGCGGAATTTGACAATTCCGTTTTTGACATCAATGAGGACGGCTGCAGTGGCTAGAAATGTCTTTCCAAGAATAATCGGTATCTCCATTTCTAAGATAAGAAAATCCACAGGAAAATAGAATTTTCCAACTTTGACAAGCACAACCTCCATAACTCCAATAGGGCAGCGGATTGATCTATCCGCTAGTTGTAAAGCTATTTTAGTTGATTGGAATCCCCCCACACCAATCTTTTTAAATAAAGAATGAGGCATGAGGTTGATACTAGCACCAAGATCACAAAGGGATCTTACCTCTCCAATTTTTTCAATAGAACATGGCACCGTGAAGCTTCCGGGATCCTTCAATTTAGGAGGGAGTTTGTTTTGTAGGATAGCGCTACACTCCTCCGTAAGGGCAATAGTAGCAAATTCTGCCAACTTCTTTTTATTTGAGAGTATGCCCTTCAAGAATTTGACATAGGACGGAATTTCCGCTATAGCTTCGGCAAATGGAATGTTGATGCTCAATTTAGTAAAAATATCAAGAAATTTTATATATTGAGCACCATCATTCTTTTTCTTCAACCTTTGAGGATATGGAATGGGAGGAACATAATTAGCCATGTTTGATGGTGGCATTATATGTTCCTCATGTTCACCTTCTTTTTGCTTTTCCAGGGTCTCCTCCTCTTCCGGCATGTTTGGATCTTCCGTTGTCTTACCACTCCTTGTGGTAATGGCCATTACATTTTCCCTTGGATTCATCTCCGTGGTAGAGGGGAATTTGCCTTGCTCCCTAGAAATTACTTTTTGAGCAAGTTGCCCCATTTGAACTTCAAGATTCCGAATGGAAGCCTTGGTGTATTGCTCAATGGTGTCGATGCGTTGGTTGAGCTTTATATTTTGATCTTCAAAACGAAGATCCAACTTGGTGAATTGAGAGTGGAGATTCCCAATGGATGCCTCCACTCTACTATGGTTTTCCTCATATTGGGTCTTCATGCTTGTCATGCTTTTGGACATGAATTGCATCATATCCTCCATAGTGGTTTCTTTGGATTGCCCAAAATTTGGTGCTCCGGATTGAGGTTGTGAGGAACTAGCTTGTGGCTTCCAATTACTCCCTTGGTTCCACCTTTGTTGATTAGAAAAGTTATTGTTCCCCGATTCCCATAAGAGTTCATATAATTTACCTCTTCAAAATGTTGAGATAAATCACCTTTCGGGTTCGATATGCTTTCCACATTGGCTACTTGTTTAGCCCCTCCAATCACGGCTTGTAGAGCCGTGTGAATTGAATCTTGAAGATCTTTGTGCATGGCTTGTTGAAAATCAGAAAACCGCTTGTCCAATTCATGAGCTATAGACACTTCACTCACACCGGCCACTTTGACATCTCCTCCTTGTAATTGAGGATTTGAAGCAATGGATTCAAGGATTCTTAATGCCTCCGTTTCGGTTTTGTTGCCAATATAGCCCTCCGCACGGTTATCTACAATGGCTTGGCATGAAGAGTTCAAACCATTATAGAATGTGTCAATTTGAAGGTCGAGAGGAATGCGGTGATGTGGGCATTCCTTCAACAAGGCCTTAAAACGCCTCCATGCATCTTGGAATAGTTCTCCAACTTGTTGTTTGAAGTTGAAGATTCGTTGCCTTAGCTCTTGAGTCATCGTGGGTGTGTAGTACTTAGAAATGAAAGCATTATAGATACCTTCCCACGTTGTAAAACTCGCTGGTGTTTGCTCCAAGAACCATCCCCTTGCTGCCCCTTTCAAGGTGTAGGGAAAGCTTTTGAGCTTGAGGTCATCCTCGGAGAGACCATTCCTAGGAATTCCTTGGATGAAACCATAGAACTCGGTGATGAAGTTAAGTGGATTCTCCCCCGGATGACCATGAAATTGAGGCATAGCATTGAAGTAGCTATTCTTCATTTCATAGTCCCTTGCCGCCTCGCTTAGGACAATACATGAGGGAGTGGCGGCAACCACGGGTCTCTTCCTTTCGTTGAGTGTTGGCATCATTTTTGCTTCTTTTCTTTCCCTCCGGTTGTGTTTGAAAGTTCTTTCTATTTCAAGATCACTAGGTTCAAGATGTTTAGAACCTTGACTTCTCAAATGCATTCAAACACAAAGCATAGGCTACACACATGAAATAAAAAATACCACAAGAGCAAGTGAAAAGCAATGGGAAATGAAAATTTCAGGATTTTTGATTGATTGATTTTTTTTGGACTTTATTAAACAAGACTGTTTCCCCGGCAATGGCGCCAAAAACTTGACCGGGCTAAACTTGCAAGTGTACAAGTGCCGATATAGTAATAAATTCCGGTAAAATACCGGGTCGAATCCACAAGGAAACGTTGTTTAATTCAAGTCCGAGAGTAGATAACTTTAAATGAAGAAATGAATAAAGTGCAGGGATTTTGATTTGTGTTTTATATTTTTGGTTTTTTTCACTTTTTGTTCAACAAGATAATCGTTAACTAACTTTAAGTTCAAGATAAATGATAACAACAACTAAGGCTTCGGGAATCACTTAAATGCTTAAATAGGGTTGAATATTAGTTCTTTACCAATAATTATGAATACGATGTCGCTAATATATTCTCAACTCCGGTTAAGGCAGTGAGAGCGTGCTTTTCGTTACGTGTAAGTCCCGTTACGGTTTACATTCATCTACCGAAAACCCCGTTGAATATCAAGACATCACACCCGTATCATATAAGACCGGATATATTTCTATTCTCAGTACTATATATGTTTATCCTTTAATGTTCATAGTTTAGACTTCAACGTTAATTGCAAGTATAAACTAAATTTAACATACTTCTATGGTGTACACCATAGTCATAAACAATCAATATATAAAGGATAAATCATAATTTATTGGTTAATAACTTTTATCAAACACCTAGTGGGCATAGAAGTTCATCCCTAGCCTTAGGTAAGAAATTAGTCTCTAATGCTCATATTAATCAACAAACAATAATAAATGTAATGGAACATGAAATTACAAAGGAAATAATACCTAAACACCAATGATTTCGGAGGATGAACTTCCCTTCTCAAGAACTTGAAGAAAATACCAAGAACAAAAATATAAAAGCTAAGAATTAGTCTATGGAATGGAATGTTTTTGTATGATGAATTGAGGGCTTTATATAGGCTAAAGAATGACATCTTTTAGTCTATTCAAGCCCAACAAATAGGTATGGAGGAGATATTAGACCAAATATGAGGAAGATGAAGTTTTCTCTTCAAGAAATCTCTTGCACGTAGCTGTGTTTATAGCAGTAATCGGAACAACCGGCGCCGGTTATAGGATGTCCGGTGCCGGTCTTGTGAAAAAATGCACCGGTCGCTCTGCGCCGGTTCGAAACGGGCCGTTTTGGGAAAAAATCCCAACGACCGGCGCCGGATATGTGATGACCGGCGCCGGTTCTTGCGCCCAAACTTGTACTTAGCTTCTTTTCTCTTTTGATGCCCAAAATTTATCTAGAAGTGCCGGTTTTCGACCCTTTTTGACTTTTGACCCTATTTTTGCTGTTCCAAGCCGTATTTCATGTTTCCGCTCATTCGGGAATATTTACCTGTTTTTGCTTCAGATTTTTGTACAGATAATTATAATCACTTATGTAAAACATAAGTAATTATTGTGCTTATCAACAATGTATTTACTTACGTAGTATTTAATAAATCCATAATATATTAGAAGCACAGATAAATCAGGATTTACTTTTTAATAAATTCTAACTTACTTTAAGAGAATGTCTTACGACTTTAAGAAAAAACAATCAACAAAAATAATGAGAGTTACACTTTAATTAAATAGTTTTTGTGCGCTTTTCTTCAACCTTTAGTTTTCACAAATTGTTATATTTAAAATCTATGGCTACTAAATATTATTAATCTCAAACAATATTAAATCTATTGTTCTTTGTAGTAACTATCTTTTCCTTTTTTAAAACTAATATTTAATCTTGAATGTAGTACACGTTTAACTATACTTAATAAAGGTAAAAAGTTCAAATAGTTTCTTCTATTATTTTCAAACCATCACTTAAGACCTTTTAAAAAAGCATCATGTAAGTGTATTCTTACTTTTAAAATACAATCAATCAAGTCATTTTGACCTGGTAAAGCAGGTTAGTTGTAAATATCTAAATTAGGACTATTGATAAATCTTATAAAATTTTATATAAATTGAATAATAATGTAATAACAATATAACAATAGTATAAAAAAACTTATTTAAGATTAATAAAAATGTAGTACCCACTATAGTATAATAATCTATTTAATCTTAAATATAGCATGCATTTAACTATATTTAAATATTAATATGTAAACTTAAATACAATATCAATGGCTTACCAATATTTTTCTGAAGTTCTTGGTCAATTGAAGTATGAGAGACGTCCTTCGCTCCTCCACAGCTCCGCTCATTGTGACTCAAGATTGCTTTTTAGTAGGAAGTCAATTATATCTAGGGGTGACTTCAGATAGACATTGTTTGTGGTTCTGAAAGGCATGAGACAAGATATTATACACGCAACCTCAAATTCTTCATTCATATTGTCATACTGTATTGTAGTTAGACAATCTAAGAGCAAGAGATTTGAAAGGATGGCCGGTGAGCCAAGTGGCCCCGATGTCCAATCTCTTATGGATGATCACTCAATATATACTGCACGATAGTATTGCTCTAGTGGTATCTGATCATGTTGAATCTATTGTTGAGCATTTTTCATAACTTCTTAACTCAAAGTAATCAGACTCAATATATATATCTTTATTTGAGGTCTATTCTTGCTCAATATATGTGGTTAATAAGGTCAAAGAATACATGTTGTGTCTGATAGATCCGGAGTTAAATACTCATTTAAGCTTAGATTCAGCTTATCATCTAGCTCGGATAGTGGCCTTCTATACGAGATACATTCTTTTAGCTAAATGTTTTTGATTTTAAACAAAATTAAATGTTCCACTTTGTCAATTCATTAGCTAAACTGAAAACTTAGGATGAATATAGATCATTCATCTGAATTGTACAATGGTACATGACTTGTGGTGATTATACTTCGAACTCATACTCTGTAGGCTCGGATGATTCATGGAGAAAATGTCGGTAAAAAGTTTATTATTCTTAGATTTACGTTACAACATTAGACATTAGACTTCCATTGACTTTCAGCACACACAATTTCTATTAATCATTAGGTTAGCAATGGCCGTTAATAAGAGTCATGGACAATCTGGGCCGCCCATGGGGGCATGCAACCTAGACAATTGTCTAGGGCCCCCAAATTTTAGGGGCCTCCAATTTTTTTTGTAAGCCCATTATATATATATAACTTAAAAACTTAAAACATGCGGAGTGGTGGACGAGTAAGACTCAGCGTCTCAGCGGATCAGCGGAGTCTTCTAGACTCACTACAAGAAAAAATATTATTTGCGTCCAAGTTTTTTGTGTCAACTACAGTGGACGCAAATAACTACTCTTTTGCGTCGACAAGTGGACGCAAATGATATTAACTAAAATCCCGTCCAGGCCTTGTACAATTTCATTATTTGCGTCGCCTTGTCGACGCTAAAAGATCTTAATTATATTTGTGTCAACGGGTGTCGACGCAAAAAATGAAATGTAAAAATGTAAAAGCCCAAGCCCAACACACACAACACACTTACCCTATAGCTAAGCGTCCATTGCCGATTAAGCCCGCGACGAGGATGAAGGAGGCCAAGACGGCGATTGCTGCGAAGACGGCGAAGTGAACTGCGTCCTGCGAGGAAGACGTGAACCGCGCCGCCTACGTCGTCCGCCAGACCGCCACTCCACCCACCGGTGACCTGCCGACCTGCGTCCGCCCCTGCCAGCCTGCGGCTCTGCGCTTCCCTCCAGCCTCCAGCCTCCAGCCTCCAGCCGCTCCAGGTAAACTCCAATTAGACCAATTACTCTGGCAGCATCACCCCCTGAAATTAAAAATTGAAAAGACCCACCCCTGAAATTAAAAATTGAAAAGAATTTGCAGCTTCTTCCATAGTAGCTTAGTAGTTCACTGTAAATCAGTTCCCGGACGCCCAGAAGCAAGTAGTTGACCAATAAGATTTGTTACCTAAAAAACAGTGGACGAATAAAAATAATGTAAACTGGTTTTGTGAATTTGCAAAGAAAATTTGTAGCTTCTTCCATATTAACTTGTAAAGAAAATTTCCTAACAGATTATAAAGAATAAAAATAATGGAAAACTAAAAATGAATAGAAACATGGTTTTGTGAACTGATAAATAACAATGTAAAATTTGGCTTAATTTTGTGAGAAACCGAACAGAATGATCATCTTCTGATGTTGACAATTATAATGAATATTAAACAGGATGATCCAGAAACTGGTGAGCAGTACTCAGCTCTTGAAAATTGGAAAGATCAACGTTTGACTCGAAGTGGCGAATAGAGAACAAAAGAAGCACATGAAAAATATGTAAGTATATTAAAAATATTTTATTAATTGTAATCATAATGATATGTAACTATATGAATTGTAATTTGATAGACTCAAATGAGCGAAGAGTACCAAACACAGCTAGGACAAACAGGGTCATTATCTTCAATAAATGAGATTGATATTATGCACCGGAACTTGAGAAGATATCGCAGACGCCAAAGCGGAGTGGGTCCTACCCTATCAAAGGGTGCATCTCGACGAGCGGAAGATGGCGCTACTTCAACATTCCAAGACCACCGGGATGTTCAAATAAGTGAATTGAAGGCAAATCAAGAGTTGATGCAAGCAAATCAGGAGTTGATGCTTCGTGCCCTACAACAATTTATTCCTGGCTTTCAACTTCCTTCACGCAGCTCCGCAAATGATGTTCCTTCGACATCAAGTGCTAACCAACCTGATCAGAGTCTCGATGAAGATGATCAAGATTGATAATATCAAGTTGAATATGCTTTTTACTTGGTTAAGATGAACATGAATTTATTTATGTTTACATTTTGTGATGTTTGTAATGATTATATGAAACTTCGTTGTAGGATAACTCACTTTTACTATGAATATTGAATGAAGTTATGTGTTGTTGACATTGGTTGTGTTTGGATAGATTTTGGTAACATTGGTTTATTAATAAAAGTTCTCTATGAATAGCAATAGGTAATGTGGTGTAATTTCAGACCTGTACAGTGTTATTTGCGTCACAATGTCGACGCAAATAATGTATTTTTAAAAAATGACTGATAGGCTTTGGCGTCAACATGTGGACGCAAATAATGGCATTATTTGCGTCAACGTGTTGACGCAAATAAATATTCACCTTTTGCGTCGACATTATGCATGATTACTTCCGGAAGATCTTTTCCGTCCATATGTCGACGCAAATAAGATTTTATTAATTGTGTCAGACAATGTCGACGCAAAAACATTATTTGCGTCGAGACTTTTGCGTCAACCCTTTTGCGTCGACATGTGGACGCAAAAAGCGCATTTACGACGACTTATGTTCTTTTGCGTCAATAATTTGTCGACGCAAAAAACGTTTTTTCTTGTAGTGACTTCTACGGGCAACTCTTCAATTTCTCTGCAGCTTTGCTTTGCCTGTCCATCAGTTCACCCAGTTCACCGGTCCCTCTTGCAATTCCGCCGGCGTAGACTGCAGTGGCCGCCGGCTAGAGACTGACAGTCTCCCACAACTCCCAGACATCCGCACAGCCAGTGTGCACAATGGCAGAGCCGCACAGCCGGCACAGGGCCTCCGACTCTAAAGGTATGTCTTATTGTCTTATTGATGTAGTTGGTTAACTTGGTTTAATGGTTAATCTTTTTACTTCTTGAATTGGGTGATTTGGGTCAATTCTTTGAGGCATAGGGGCAGTAGGGGCATGGGACTGACGGGCTGTAGCCTGTAGGATCATTAATTCAATTATTTGTGTATTTGTAAAATTGTTAGTCATTAAAATTATTGTGTATTTGTATAATTGTATATTTGTATTTATATGGTTGTGATGGATCTACGACTTAGGGGTAGCCAGAATCCGAAAATATGAAAGGGAGAAGCTGATCGGAAAATATCAGGCGTGAAAGCAATTAGAGAAGATGATCTTGATTATGGGTGCAAAATAAGGCTTAGGGTTTTGTTTTGAACTTAGGGTTACAATGTAAACATTAGAGTCTATTTATAGGGGAAACAGGGATTAACCTAAAGTGCAATGGGTTAGGCCCAATACAAATAATATGAAATAGGACCCTTGGGCGTGTAAAGTGCCGTTGGGCTAATACAAAGTGCGGATTAGGCCCAGTATGAAAACGGTGCTGCTGATGTAGCACACGTGTGTCCTTAGCATAATTTCTGTCATGGCTTTTGTAATAGCTCGAGCCCTCCCGGGGTCGGTACTTGCGAGGTCAGTATACACAGGGTCAGTATATGCGAGGCCAGTGCTTGAGGCCTCGGGCTGAAGACTTGGGGAGATGTCTTCCGTCTTCAGTTTTGCTTAAGTCCATGATGCTTTGTTCAGGCTCTGAGCGTGCTGAGGTCAATCATCATGGACACAGGCTCAGTACTTGAGGAGATGTCGTCGGGGCTAGTTCTTTAGGACTTGGGCTCATTGCTGAGGAATACGTCTTCTGACTCTGAATTCGTTGACTCTGTTGCTTGACTCTGGTTGACCTTGCGTTGACGCCTGAGGTCGGAACTGGTGCTGAGCTCGGAGCCTTCGAGGTCGGGCTCATAACTTGTGGAGTTCGGTTGATTCCCGAGCCTGGTGTTTTACCGGCCTCGGGGGGTCGGGGTCCGGCTCAGCTGGCCTCATTATTCGCTAAGTCTGATTGATTCCTGAGCTTGGTGATTCCCCGACCTCGGGGTCGGGGTCAGGATCAGTCCCAGATGTGGACTTAGTATTTTCATGCTCCTTGATGGATCCGTAAAGTGAATGTCGGCGATTATGAAACCCCTGGGGTATATGGGAATTTGCTGATCTGGTCTGGTCTTTTTTAGTCTGTTCTGGTCTGGTCTTTTTTGGTCTGGTCTGGTCTGGACTGGTCTTGTCTGGTCTGAAATTTTATATTTTATATATTTTGCATAAAAATTTTATTTTATATATATATTATAATCCATAAATAATTATATTTTATTCATTTATAATTAAAAATAATAATATTCCTTCCAAATTATCGAAAATTGTTATCGTTTTACTTGGAGTGAAGCAGATCAGACCAGATCGAAGCAGACCAGACCAGATCATACAAATACAGAACAACTCAAACTAGACTAGATGATATTTATTATTTTATAGTACTTTTTTGGTTCTAAAAAGATGTATAGTTTACCCATTATTCATATATTTTTTTTAAAAAATCAAGATTTTATTTATTTTTATTTCTTTGTTTTTTAGAAATCAAGATCATCTATATTATTCTGTCACTTGTATGACTTAAAATACGAACAGACTAAACCAAACAATAATAAAATAGTACAAGTATTAATAATAACAACAATAACACTACTACTACGAATAATAATAGTAATAATAGTAATAATACTAATAATAATAATAATAATAATAATAATAATAAAATATGGTTTGGTCTGGGACGGGACGAATTACAGTCCAAGTAAAAAATAAGTTCTTACCATTCATTTAGATTTTATTTAATGATTTCAAATAATTCTAACACAATCATGTTTCTTACTGTTTTTAAATGTATAATTATATTATATCTAAATTATTATGCGGTTGTTTCACTCTCATGCAACGGACGAGTGAGTAACTAGTTTTCTTAAAAGTGACACCAGAGAATATTAAAAAACTATTTGGGAAAAGAGGTTTTGAAGGTTTTATGTCCCGAACTATTCAAAGCCAATATTTATTCAATATTATTTTTAAATAAGTCGGGACCTAAAACCTTCAAACATTTTTTACCAAGTGTCATTGGAAATGCACATGAATTCGAGCAAACACTAAACTTTTAAAGCCCTATATAATCAAATACTACAAGCAAACACGTTTACGGTGTGGAAAGGTAATTAGTAGGGAAACTTCACCAACCTTCCTTTCTGAATCATTAACCCTTCCTTCCCATTTCCACCACACTCTCAGCCAAGACTCTTCCTTTCTCTTCATTCAAACCGCGCCCAGTCCAAAGCAGATAGTAAATGGAATTAGGGAAAGTCTGGGGAGAGGGATTCTCCCTCTAAGTATATGGGATAGGCCTTTAGTTTTGAAATGGGTGACCCATTTTTTTGGTTGAAAGGAACACCAATTCAGGAAATGGCACATTCTTAGATTATATCCCGAGAAAGGGTTCTAATGATGATCCCAATCAGCACATATTACCCAAACACCAACCAGAGGTAGATTCTTTTTCCAGGTATTGTACCCTAACAATTTGTTTTATATGGATGCTTTGTTTGTGTTGTTCAGATCGGTAATTTATCAACACCCTGTTCCAGCCTCCCTTTTCTATTGAAAAAAATTCATTCTCCTCAACTGCCTACACAACCTTACATTTTCTTTTGGAGGCACAGAAGAACTGTTTATAACTAAATTTATAAACCCGGAAGAATTGTTTCTAGAATTGAAAAAAAGGCAACAAACAATCTGGACAAGAAGATAGTTTGTTTCCTCTTATTGCTGAGGTAGATAATGGAACACATTATCAGCTTACATATAATGGCCAATACTAGCTTGTTTGCTCAACCTGTTCGCATCAGTTGCTCTGTATATCCAGTGCAATGTACCTTAAATTTTCTTCCATATTTTGGTCATCTAAGTTTAATTTTGCAGTTGTACGCCTTTTGCGCCTCTGAGAGGCGCGCGCTTCTCACGCCTCATGGATGTCTCTCTAGTCTTCTTCCTTATTCCTTCTTCTCCCTTCTTCCTTCTGCGTTTGCTTTGCTTCCGAGTTCCCACATCTGCTGTCCCGTTTCTTCCGCTACTTTCTTCCGCTACTTTCTCGCGTCGCAGGACTCGCAGAGTAGTCGCAGGTAGGTATTAATTTCTTCTCTTCTACTGTTTCTTTTATACGTATATAGTTTATTAATTAAGTTTAAGTATGTATTATATTTTATTTTATTACCTTGAAATTGTAGTGTTACTACCTCTGTTGGTCTGTTCTAGATCATGCTGAGTACCAAATATTTGATTTTGTTTAACATTTTTTATATAACATCTTATTAATTTTGTTTTGAAATTTTAAAATTGAGTTTTGTGACTTGACTTTTGCAATTTTGACTACATTTGATTTATTAATATACTCCATGAGATTTTTTTTGTTTTCCATCATTTGCAATGGAGCCAAAGACTCACTATTTTTATGCTTGGGAATATGATGGAATAAACCAAAATGGCTCAGTAAACTGTCTGCGCTTCAAGCAGCAATTAGTCCATGCAAACTTTTTCGGCGCGGTTTACACTATGGGTCATCTGGAAACAGTCTCTATGTGCTTTAGTACATGGGTAAGACTGTGTACATCTGACCCCCTTACCCCACCGAAGGTGGGAGCTTTTGCGACACAGGGGATGATGATGATGAGATTTTTTTGTGAAACATATTGTTTAATTTGGCTTATTATAAATTTTCATAAATAGATATTTAAATATTTTTTACTAATAGAATTGTAAATAATGACGGTCAAAGTTGTGCATTAACAAACGTAAAAATAAAAATGTTGCAACTAAAAAATGGCGGGAATAAATTTTAAATAGACATAAGATGTTTTTGGGCGTAGAAAATAATTAGAGAAGAATGAATTCCAAATTCCAAAGAGCGGTGGATTGCCATATTAGTATGTAGAGATGGCAATTGTGACCGATCCGGTGGATACTCGCACCGAACCGCCCCGGTCAAACCGGGGAAAACCGCATTGACCGGGTAATGGGTATGGGGCGGGGAATACCCGTTTTGTTTTTACGGGTAACGGGGAGGTTACGGTTTTATACATGTCCGCCCCATTACCCGCCCCGTTTATTTTTAGTTATATGTTTATTACATTCTCATCTATTACTTGTCCCACAACTAAAAGATGAGAATTTTCTATTTTCATTGTGTATATAGCAGACAAATGTACTAACTCTAGTGTATGAATGAAAGTTTATAATAGATCTTAATAG